TTTGATTTATAAAAATAAATGATTTTAGATATAACCAATGACATATATAATACCTAGACTGACGATTCATTTATTAAAATGCATTTTTAAGCGTCGTTAAAAGCAAATCAGCTGGACCCGCCATTTTGGTAACACATATAGTAATTATTCTCATGTTAAAAAAAAGTACTTTTAAATTGATAACTTTCTTCCTTATTATCTCGATGATCCGGTAATTCTTTAATAAAGTTTGCATCAGATATAGGAATAAATTAGGCTCTCGTTTAAAATTTTAATAATGATTAGTGTAACAAAGATGGCGTCTCCAGCTGATTTGCATTGATGTACACTTTTAATGAATGAATCGTCAGTCTAGGTATTATATATGTCATTGGATATAACCTTTTTTTAAAATATTTTAACATTTTATTTTTGTTTAAAACGCCATTTTATATTGGATCGGAAAATTTTATAATTTTGGCCGATGACCGATATTTTAAAATGAGTGAAATATCGGCTTGATCCGATCCGATAAAATATATCGGTACATCCCAATATAATAAATTTTATTAAATGTGTAATTTCTCTATAGTCTCTGGTATTTTCTTAGCTTTTAGTGTTAGCAAAATATTGAATCAATATAAAGACAGAAATGTTTATTAAGACTTTTTAATATAAATTAACAATATTAAAAATAATTTTTATATAAGTTTATTATGCCAAAAAAAAATAATTCTAGAATTAACAAAATATAAAATCATTTATAACATTAAAATTTAGCTAGATCATTTATATCAACTGTTGTTAAGTTGCTTTGCTAGCACATCCAGCGGCATAATTTATGCACTCTCTAGTTTACAAAGGAATAAGATGCTACTGTCATATCATGTTCCATGGATTCTACTTTAACGCAATAACATTCAGCATTACCAATCTTTGTTCATTGGTTAGATAAATCAGGCCAAGAATAGTCATAAACTTCTCAGTATAGAATTCATTAAAATGATGATTTTTTTCAAAAAAATCCAAACATGATTTATATTGGGATTTCAATCAATTTGATCTAATAATACAAACCCTGCAATAGATTGTTGTAAGCTTCAGTATGGAGATTATAACTAAGCAACAGGTCATACAGACAAATTAATTAATTTTTGCATTTATTACATTGAGACTCATTATTCGATTCCAATTCTATATTTTTTGGGGGTATTTGCAGAATTTTTTTTCATATATCCTAACAAACGAAATTAATTCTTGTCTGAGAATATAAACTAATTCGTCTATTATGTCTAGAAATTCTTTGATACATTCATTATTGATATGCCAAAATTTATTTGGGTGAAAATATAGCATATCTCCAATGAAACTCTTATTTTTAGAAAATCTCTATATAATTGATTTTTGGTTAATTATAGGCAAAAATATCCCAATCTATAAAGATCCTTAGGATTATTAAGTCTCCCATCATTACATTTATCTTTATATAGTAATTAAATTCCATGATAATATATTCAGCTAACATTTGATCAATGAATATTTCATGTAAGTTTAATGCCATACTCTTATATTTAATTTGAAATAAAATCCAAATTGGAGATCGCATTGGATCATTCAATGAAAATCGATCAAAAATCGGTCATTTTCGTATACCTCTTTCAAATCAATTTCTTTTTTTGATTCGCGGTAACGCAAAACGTTACTCGGGAAATACACATTTTATTGTATTATAAAATTACTTTTATTTATTTTTAAATTTTATAAATAATTTAAGCCGAGTTTTTAATTCACATCAACCACCGAATTCCTTCATTTTTATTTAAATTTTCAGTCAAGACTACTAATCTAATTAATTTAAATTAATCAATATATGTAAATTTAAATTCATATTAATATTATAATTTATTTTATTAAGAATATTATATCGATTGTGTATTTTCTTCTAGTAAAGCCTTCCTTGGCTTTAATATGAAACATTTTTTACACAAATGAAGAAAACTAAGGGTACAAAATTTAGATAAGTGTAAATTGTGTCTTAACTTAAATATTTTAACCTCAATTGTGGAATAAACGAGCATCCTCCAAATTATGAAAACTTATTGATCTTTATTTAATTATTTAAAACCTTTCTTCACTAACTACATACTTATATCTAGTGTTTTTTTAAGCTCAATTAAAACACGTGCTACCATCTTCTTAATCGCTTCTTATTCAGCTTATTGAATTCCTATATTGTTGGTTATATGTCCAAAATATTTTAATTTTTTTAAAAAAAACATTTCATATTAATATATGTCACACCTATATTTGCAACTCTTTTGAAATTTTATTTAAGATAACTATTAAGGAGAGTGGCCACAAGACGAATCTAGTAATAAATCCAAATTAGAAATTTTAAGATAATGAAAAGTTGTTCATAGAAGAATATTTTATGGCTATATATATATAAATTTATAGGTTATGGAACCTGTTCCTTCGGCTTTTTCGATTTTAGAGAGAGAAGAAAAAATGCACTTGAGAAATCTCACTCCCACAATAACTATTATATTATTTTAAAAATGGCTTTAAATAATTTCATTTTGTAAGCCACTTATTAATGCAATTCTGCAAGGCAAAGATAAAAGGTATGCAGTTTAAGTATTGTCAATTAAATAAATATTATCAGCAATAATTCACTCGCTATTTGAATCAGATTGACCCTCGTAAAACTATATGTCAGCGAAGGAAGGAAGCTACTTATTTCCTGTTTGAGAAAAGATCTTGACAAAGAAAAGGCAAACTTTATTCCTTTAAAAAACGACACATACAGATTATTTTTTAACAAAAAAATGTTCCAAAATGCAATGTATGCTTGCTAATGTTTTAAACGAACACGCTCTTGAATAGAATAGTTTTTTCATTTTTTTTTTAAATTTTCTTATTAAGTTGAAATTTAAAAGAAAAATTATAATTTTTTTGAATTCATAATAATCTGATTTTTTAAAAAATATTTCTTTTTTTACTCAGCATATTTTCCTCTCTGACTAGACTAGTGTTTATTTCATTAATGTAATTTCGTCGATCAAGAATTGGAGAGCTCCACCCGGCATATTTAAGAATGTTGACCTAAGGGTAGATTTTAATTGTCAATAAATAAAAAATAAATTTTTGGCGAAGTCAGAGCACTGTCAATTTTGCGATATTTTCATAATTTTTCTTATATATTGCATGATATTATCACGTTATAATCAATCACCTGTGTTATGCACATTTTTTAAATTTTATAAAATAAAATTGGGAAAAAATCAATTAAATATTGGCATCGCTTTTTATTCAGTTTCAGTTAAATTATTATTTCTATAAATAAGTCTAATGAAGATTTTTTTGACGATGAACTAAGCTTTTTTTAAAATAAAGATTACTCTTATATTTTTAATAAATTTCCCCAATTAAAAATTTTATTTATCCAATATAATACAGCCCTCTCATCCTCTACACCAGTTGAACGTGCGTTTAACACAGCGAAAACTGCTTAGCACTAAGCACTCCTGTTTATCTGATCAAAATTTTAAAAATCATATCTTATTTTATAAAAAAAATTTTGTATTTTATAAATATTAGATATCTTATTATATATTATATTTCGCATAATTTTATTTATATTATATATAGGGGAAAAAAATTTTTAAGTAACGAGTAACATTACTATTTTGTATAGCCAGTAAGTTCTTTTTTCACAAGGTAACGAGTAACAGTAACGCGTTAACATAATGAGTAACGTGTTTTTTTGAAGTATCTAGGGTACATCTTCACTGAAATATTTTAATATGTAACAATTTATATTTTTGCCCATTTACGTCAAAAAATTGTAAAAAAAACTTTAAAAATAATGATTATGACAATTGTCGTTTTTATATGGTACATCCTAATTGAAATTATAATTTAACATGTTAAAAATACATATTTTTGCCCATTAGCGTAAATCTAATATGTTTAAAAATACCGATTATGATAATTGCCATATTTCCAAGGAACATCTTCATTGATTTAACATCTTTATAATATAAATGATATTTTTACCCTTTTGAATCAAAAAATTTCAAAAATCTTAAAAAATAACGAATATGAGAATTGTCACATTAAATTATTTTCCTTAAAAAGATCATATAAAATAACATAAATAAGTTGAATATAAATATTTTAAAAAAAATTATTTAGAAAATCCACCTCTTTTAATATACTTAATTAAGAACGAGATAATTTTACAAAAATGATAAAAAAAACTATAAAAGATTTCACTTAAAAATTATTTATAATAAATTTCACAAAAGAATTCCTCAAAAAAGATATATTTACAAAGAAGATTAAAAAATTTTTTTCAAAATATGTTCAAAAATCTTTTTGAACTTCAAGAAATATGTTTTACTTAAAATCTTGGGCGTGCAAATCACTAATAAATTATAACAAAAATACTATTACAATAGTAGCATATCATTTGTTATTAAAGACATCAAATAATAAATAATATGTTGTTTTCCTTTAAATAAAGGCATTCGCAATATATTTATTGTTTCGCGGTAATGACTTCGCGCAAACATATTCGCGGTGAAAAATTCGCTGTAAAGTGTTTGCGTAAAATGTTTCGCTAAAATGTATTCGTTCTAATAAATTCGTGGTTAAGGTTTCGGGGAAATAAATTTGCGACAATGACTTTGCGAAATTGTCTTTGCTATAAATTTTTCGCGGAGATAAATTCGCAGAATTGGTTTCGCGATTTTACCTTCGCTATAAAAACTTTTCGCGATAAACGACATTCACAAAAAAGAGTTTCGCGATAAATGTTTCGCTGAATTGACCTGATACGAAGGCCACTTCACTTTTCAAAATTTTAGCATTCAATATGTTTCTAATAGAACTCTCAACGTTCTTATTTCCATATCTAATTATTTTTTATTACAATATTTGATAATCAATTTTTTTAATTTAAAAAAAAAATCAATTCTCTAATGGAATAACCATTTTATAATTTGATTCATACTTAGAATCAACAAATATGCTTTGATTATTCTATTTTGCTCCATCCCACAACTCTTGAAAACTCGTGTCAGCGGCTTATTTTTATTCAACGACGCTTCAAAATGCATTTTATTGAATAAATCGTCAGTCTAGGTTAGCCTATAAAAATACTAATCGAATCATTGGATTCGTATTTAATTCGAAACTAAAAAAAAGTAGTAATTATATTTAAAAATTTGTATTTTTTATTTTAAAAAAGGAATTCTTTGGTATCCAATGTTTGGATTCGAATTTCATGAGCCAAAATTTTCAAAAAAGCGGTTCACTTGTAGATGTGGCAATGGGATAAAAATGAAGTTATGTTTGTCAAAAATTTAAATTTAAAATTACAAAAAAACTGATTATTTTGTAAAAATTATTTTTCTGGGATAAAATCTGAATGGATTTAATTGAGTGGTAAAAATTGAAGCAAAATCACGTAATATAGAAAAGGTTAACAAGCTGATATATAAAATCAACTTAAATATTATAGAATTATTTCCCTTTATACGTTTTTAATCAAAATGCTTGAAGTGAAGTAGAAAATAAACAAAAGGCTCCTAATTCTTCCGCTAGGAACATCTTAAATAGGAAAGGTTTTTCCAAGAAAATATGTTTATTTATATTTCAGAATGTTTATAAAATAGTTTTATGAATAAATATTATTCAACGAATAATATATTTTTCGAACCGAATAAAGGATATTTCATTTTAGATATAGTTTAGGTAAGTATCATATGCAATTGGTTAAACCATGCTATATCATTGATGAAATATTTTTTATTAACTGTATAGAGAATAATTTAAATTTTTATTCGAAATATCTTCAACAAATATCTTAAAATTGGTTAAGTCATTCAATTTGTTTTTATTGTAATGCAGGAGTGGTGTCTGGATTAGAGACTACCGGAACTGCGAAATTTTTTAAAAAAAATTATAACGTGCCGGGCAATTCGTACATAAAAATCAGGCAAGTCCTCGCAAATCTCTGATTTATCGTAAAATATTTTGATATATTATTTTGAACTGCAAAACACAATTGATTTATAAAACGGTTGTTGTAAAAATAGATGGCCATCATAGAGGAGAGATATAAGAACTTTAATGGATATTGGGAAAAATTAGATTTAGATATTTAAAATGTACATAAAGAAATGTCGGGTCGGGCAGCTTATGCAAAAATTCTTAACGAAGTTTTGCAGATCTCTATTTGAATAGATTGACTCGAAAATATATTTATCAAGTGACTATCACTATTTAAAAAATAAAATATTTAAATTTGTATACAAATAAATAAGAAAATTATATGAATGAAGGCATAATATATTTTATATAGAAGAATAAGCAGTTTTATTTTATAAACATTACAATAATTTGGTTTTTATCAAAGATGTTACAATTTAAAAGAGAAGCAAATATTTTATATTTCGTATTTGCACATTTTATCTGTTTGTTAGGTAGGGTACCTACACTAAATATGAATGTTTGTATGAAACCTTTATTAGTTAATAATTGCATGTTTATATTGACGATTCTTGGCTTACTTTTCAGCGTTAGATGAAAATAATAAATTCCTTTATAATATCTTTACGAAAAAATTATTTTCGTTTTGTATTTTGTATTATAAAATAATTATATAATGCACTCTATATGATTTTTTTCACCTGCCTTGTCAACTAATTTCTTTTTTTTTAAAATTAACTTATATTCAACACGACATAATATTAATCTTTTATGATGTTTCTCATCTCAAATTTAAAGATATAAGTTTTTTTTTATAAAATTAATGGCTAAAGATGTTTAATTTTAAAATTTACAGATATATTTGATTCCTAGGTTGGACAGTAATTAATTACGTATACAATTTTTTTTGTAAATATAACTAATTAATTCCATTTAAAAAAAAGAAGTTAGTAATTATAATTAATTATTATATTTTTCAGACATGTTATGGATTAGAGTTATAATTCAAAATTGCATCTAATGATGAAAAATCTTTCCATTTGAGCCTAAATTTTATTCAGAAAATTATTACGCAAGCCTGAAGATTTTGCTCATAGATGGTACAAAGGTTTGGGCATCTATTAGAGAAATCTCGAGGTGTAGGTAATATTTTTCTGGCTAAAATATTAAGTTAGCCGTTTTTAAAAATGGGCTCAAATGGAACGATTTGCATCTAATTCTTTTTCTTATTTAATTAATTTTTATGAAAAACGCTTGATAATTGCAATATTTCATTCATATCTTTGGAGAAGGATAATGAGTGAATCTTAATCTTTAACTTTTATCTTGAACTCTGACGATAACTTCGATAATTGCTATTGCTATTCAAATATAATTTTATATTCAGTAGAAGATAAATCTAAATTGTCAATATTCAATCCAAATTTTATTTAAAATAACTCATAAAAATGATTAAACTACAAGCGCCGCTACTTGCGCCTGCGATCAAATCGTAGAGCTACAATAAACCACTAATAATTTCCTAAAACATGTGAGGTATATCGAGATTTCGTTAATATATGTCTTCTATGTACCATCTATGATCAAAGGCTTCAGGCTAGAGTATTATTAGATTAAATATTGATTTATCAAATTGAAAAGCTTGTTTCGGAATGCAGGCAAATTGAAAATATTATCAAATTTTTTATATATAATTTTGCTGCCATGAAAATAGCAAATTACTTTTCCGTTCTGCCAATTCGCTGCAAAGCTCATGCCGTTGGGTGTAACCTTAATTAGCTCTTAATTTTATCTAAATTGGACTTACTTATATAAAATTGATGCTACTATAGATAGACAATTATAATATGAAATATTTATTTTGAACGAAGAGTTCTATTTTTAATAATATATTTAGAATGTCTTTTATATTTCATCCATAAATTTTTCTCCTTCTCTATTACATTATTGGACGAGTATGGTATTAAGGCGAATGTCAAACTAAAAAAATAATTTATACTTCAAATTTCGATGACTAAAGAAAATAGTATTGACTACTGATACCTCATTTCGAGGAATAAATAAGATGGTCGAGCGAACAATATCAATTAGTATGTTATTATTCAAATTTGATTTTAAAGAAATCATCAACGAATATTATTAATTTCAGAGACACAACAAAATAATTTATTAAGAGCCTCAGTTTTATAAATGACCTGATAAAATTATTGCAAGAATAGAAAGTTGTCAAACGTAATAATTGAAATAACGCATATTCGAAATAAAAAGGACCGACATATAAAAATAAAAAATTGGAATGAAAACGAAAAATAAAATGTAAAATTGAAATAAAAACTAAATATAAGAAGGAAAAATAAAATAAAAAGTAATATAAGTTAGATAAAATCGAAATAAAAGAAAATAAAAACGAAATTAGAGAACTTTATATCTAAAATATGAAAAATAATTCCGACGTAATATTCGGCGAAAAATAGATAAATATTTTCTCCATACTTTTACTACATTTGTATAGTAGAGAAGGGAGAAATATTTATTGTATGAAATATAAAATATATCACAAAAAACATTACAAAATATATTCTAATTATATTGCCAAAAATATAACTTCGTTCTATCTTCAGTAAAACTTGTCTAATTTGGGTTCCTAATAATTTTGAACCCCCTTGAAATTCCTATCAACTACTATTATAAAGTAAAAAGTCTTGATAAATTAGGCAACTTTCTTAGTTGGGTAAAAATCTTAGTTTCAACGCTGCTCAAAGAGGACAGGGTAAACTGTACATATTATAATTGAATCCCGGAAAAAACAGAAAAAGAACCCCCGAAATGTTTTTCATATTTATAAAATTTACTTAGGACCTAATAATAAAGGCATATTTTTATTTGCAATATAATGGATACACTCATCTTTATAAGGTATAGACAAATTATTATTTTAGAAAAAAAATATAATTTATTAATAAACTAAAATTTTTTATGTCCTAATTCATTATTTAAAGATTACCCATATACCCTACATAAAAAAGACTTAAACAAGATAAAATTCTGAAAGTGGTACTGGGAATACCCCAGTAAAATACCATGTATTTCTTATTTTCGTAAAAATTGTTTTCTATAGTAATAAATAAAATATCCATCCACAATTACGATATTAAATAGACTAAATTTTATAATAAGATATATTTATTTTATTGGTAAATCATCATTATGTATATACAAATTTAATTTAGAATAATAATTAAATAGGGGCATCGAATATAGAGAGAAATCGCTGTTATTGGAAGACTTCGCACCCCATCACGATATTCCTTGCAAAGTTTCTATAACCGAATCTTTGTATTATAACTGCGATTTTGTTTTCGGTGTCCAACTACCTAACGCCAATATCATTTTTAAAACAATAACCAGATTGATGGGTGTGTCATCGTCGGTGGCAGGGAATTTGTCCAGCTCGTTCTTAGAACATTTTTCTGCTACACAAAAATTTTCAGAAAATATTTTTGAGCTTATTTCCAACCAAATTAGAAAAACGATGAGTCCATCCTTCTCATTGATTATTCGTGCATTCTCGTCGGGTAGAATGCTCTGCTTCATATTCCTAGTTTCCGGCGGAAATCGAGACTCAATTCGACGTGTCTGGGACTAAGAATTGCTTCTTGTGACCTCCCTTAATTTATATCGAAGTAATCAAGATTAATCTTACCATGGAGTAACCGATCTCAGGAATGTCATTGCATTGTCCATATCACATAAGGGAACAAATGCCAGTCCTCCATTATGCCATAAAAACACCACTAGATGTTGGTCTATTTGGTGATATTGTTTTTGCAAGCTCAAGCTCATTTACCTTATTCTTGAATCATAACATCTTGATCATTTTCATTCTTCCACCAAATTAACTATATTTATATTTTCTTATTAGTTATTTCCAGACATGAATAAATTGTTTTTTTAACTGATAGTGGTTTGAACAACAATTATTTCTCCCATTACATTCTAATTTTCAAAAAATTTATCAAAAAAATATATAAAATATTCAGAAACCAAAAATAAAAAAAATAAAATTTATTTTTGGGGGAAGGGGAAAGTTT